TTGGTCATATATATTGGAAAATAGTTTTCCGGCATACGTAACCATATAAAATCAAATAAATTACTTGTTCAGACTGACGTCTACTGCCACTTTTATTATTATATTGGTACGTTAGAAAATGTCTCGTTCGATTCTTGACAATTACGTGTTCATAAGACGTATAAAAAGGAAAACAATCAGAGTAATGGATTACTCGAGAGTTTTACTCATAGTAAAAAAATAAAAGTCCATACGAAAATAAAGAAGTTAATAGCTGGAGAAGGGTACAAAAATAGTTAGTATTAAACGTCTGTAGTATACTACCGTAGATCGGTTGATTTAGAACGCTCTTATGGTTACTTTCATGTGTACAGCGCTTTGTGCAATTGTATATCTTCCATTATCAACCATTGTATTCTGGAGATTCGTTCATATAGTCTATAGTAGTTGCACACAATATAAACTAGAACACGTTTCGCGGGCATTACGTCGTCGTAGGTATGATGTTTTCTTTAAGCTGATGTCAATACAGCTATTTCATATCAAATGTTTTTTCTTATCGAGACTAGAAAGCGATTTTTTTTTTTTTATCAAACTTTATTTGAAATGCTTGTGACAAGGTTTGTATTTAAACGATGTTAAGATTTTGATATAACTGATTACATAAATATATGATAGTTATCAATTTTATTTTTTAATATAACAGACAAGACCAACTCATCTTGGTGGCTAAAATTATTTATGCAAATTCAGAGTTTAGAAGTTTAATAGTAAAATATTATGTCAGAAAAGTTAAATGTTTTATATATTATTTATTTTAAATGCTGTTATCGCTGGAATAAAAAATATTGCAGCTAAATTGCGTAACCTCTACTTTAAATCTTCAAGTGTAGGTATATAACATTATTTGAAATTTCAGTTGTTACAATTATTAATTCTTTAAATCTGTTTTTCATACGATAAATTAAACAATTGTAGTTAAGTCATCTACAAAAATAATTTTCAAATTATTAATTTCTTATTTATTTTCAAAAACTTGCCTCTTCTGTTCAAACGGAATTGATTTATAAAACTTTGTTCTGCGTACAATTATATTTGATTTTCTAAATGGTATAAATTTTGATGTTCATATTACATAGAACAATCGGTCCATGGAAAGTATACATACATGTAATTTTATAATATTTTAAATGTTGGTAACTTATTAAGACATGATAAATTATTGTAAATCGATCAATGATATTATAATATTTAAGTGACAATGTTTGAATCATAGATAATGGAGTGTAGACAAAAAGTATTAAAAATTATGAAAATAATGTTACATAAATAAATGATATATATTTAATATCTATACATAAATAAGCAGGTACATAAGTTAAACATAACTTTAATGATTTTTTCTTCATAACCTTTATCTTAATGCTAATATTATAGTTTATTATTGAAATACCTAATTTATAACACAATTTCAAATTAACTATGATTTAAAAATATCATTATTAAATTAAATTTTGTCGACTGTAAATATTTTAGTCACATTTTTGACGAATCCTAACAGTGCACAAATTTGTCCGTATGTATATATATAGGTATATAGTTTTATCATTTGCTGGATATGAAGATAATCGAGAATAAAAAGAGCAGTATCCTACAATTGTTGTTGAAATGTCCTGTTGACGATAATTATCGGAACAAGGGTTCGTCGGACGTCGACGACGTAGCGATGGCAAATTAAGGATAAAGTCGAATACAAGAAGGGAAAACGAGGAGGAAACCCGATAAGATCCTTTACAAGCTTAATCCATTGTCGAGGTTGCGTGCGACTAAATGAAGAGAGAAAAAGTTGTGTACTGTTTATGAGTCACGCCGAGGGTTTTAATGTCGGTCAGCATTTATCATCACTTGCCTATTACTGTAGGATCAATACCTATAATATTTGTACATCAGTAGAGTACCCATACTTACGATTTTTCAAACGCATGGAGTATGACGAGATTGTATTTAACCGTATTTAAGATATCAAATTTAATTTATTGTGACTGTAATCATCATCTAATATTGGGTCAGGGGATTTTAAAATAAAACTATTCGGACATGTTCTTATTGGATTTAAATAAGATAAAAATACAGTTGTATTATTTTTTAATGTTAAGATATTGTTTGAAAACCATTTGATTACTATTTTTTAAAGAGTTGTCTGTTATTTTTATTACTGAATCTACACTGAAATATAAAAAAAAAATGTCCAGCAATAATAAAAATATGGATTTGATTTATATTTAATATTTATATACTACCGTTTATAAAACAATATCAGTGTGTAATATGTTTATCAGTATACCACGTAGGTTAAACACACGATAGCAGGTACTTCCGTGGCTGCACCACATTATTTTTGTTTAAAATTTTACGTGCATGGTCGCCATACATATACACCTACTTTTGTACATTATGGTATCATCATTATTTCTTTTGTAGTAAAATGTTGCATTATATTATACTGTGCTTAAAGTGGATTAAATGTTGAAATGGCGTTTTATGTGTTAAAATATCATTGTTTTATCATTGGATGATAAGCTTTCATTTATTAAAAAAAAATAAAATGTAACGATTATGAATACAGCAGTTAACAATAATATTTATTGTTTGGTTATTACCAAATACAACACAAATGACCTATTCACCTATTCCTTACTGAAAATTAAAATGCAGATTGGAAAATATTAATGTTTGCTTTTAATGTTACTTAAAAAGTGATATTGATTTACATTTACATCAGGGACTGAAAAACAGCTTTGGATCCGAAGCTATATGAAAATATCAGGAATTGGAATCTCATCGAAACTATTATTTAAATTATTTAAAAACTCAAACCTTTATTCATACGTAAGGTTAATTTTAAATGCCTATGATATTTTTTTATAAAATTAACTATACAATTATAAAATAATAAAATCTGTGGATAGATCTTGAAAATTATAACAAATACAATAATCACTATTATTTTGGACTTCAAACGGGAATAAACAAAGCGTTGGTTTAGTAAATTGTACCTAGTGCATTTTATGGTCCCAACCTATGAAAATTTAAAAACTCAAAAATTAAAGAAACACATAGTTTAAAATTCATTTTTCAATTTGGCTAATGTTGGGTCGTACAGAATCGAACTGGAACCATATTCTATTTAAAAGCATTACCAATCTTTAAATGAGGTTATAATCTGTCTATAAGAACTGGAGCGACACCTGACTCCTGAGCTACCATTCTCGTCTTTTTTAGAACTTAATTGTGCCAATAGTTTTTTAACGAACATATGTACTTTATTATTGATACTTTCTTTTATAAAGGTAATTTTTTTCTTTTTTTTAATTATTGATAGATCATAAGTTAATATGAGTTATATATTAAAAAGTTGGTACATCATCGAACAAAACATTTAATATATAATAATTTATACATTTTTTATTTTTATTTTGTTTAACAGTACTGTGCGCTTATTTTATATAGGAGAAAAAAGTATTTGAAGTAGCTATGGAAGACTCTTTGCATTCAATAGAAACGTTTCGAATGGATTACATTAATAAATAAAATAATACAAAATTACTAAATGTAATATTTTAAACCTTAAAAGATACATAATAATTATAAATTATAGAATATGATGAGTTTAGTAAGCATAGAAGTTTATGACGAACAAAAATTTGAAAGGCTTCATTTTATCTTTTATAAAATATTATAACATTATAATATAGAGCGTATTATAAATCATACATTAAAGTAGTGATTTAAAGTCTTACGCTTAAAACAATATTATTCTAATTTTTTTTTTTTAAGAAGCTCATTGGGCTATTAATCCACTGTACGAAGGAGTATTGAGAAGCAGATTACAGAATCTGTACCCAAAACTGGATGTGCATTGTGCACTGAAGAGAAATTAATTAGAATTAAGTTATAATATGGGTAGTAAAATTTTGCAGCAATGTAAGAGTCTCTTAATATGATAAGTCTGAACTGGAAGTCACATTGATTTAAATGAGTGATAATTTTAACTATAGCATACAGTTTAGAAGCCAACATTTGCTTGTAAAATAATTTTTGGTATTGATTAATGAGTTATTCTTTCATTTATTTTTAAATTTTACATAACAATGTTTTAAAATTCTTTTAAGTATTTCTACTCTTCACACAAATTTTATGAATATTAAAGTTGTCGAAATTTTAGGATGAATTATTTCAAAATAAGTAAATACATTTTAACAACTTATGAAAATTAGCTCTAAGTTATTATTTATTTTTATTTTTAATATTTTCAAACTTGTGAAATGTATTATTTTACGTTGTTAATGACATTCATATTCCAAATGCAAACTTACAAAAAAAAAAATGTATACTTAATATTTTTAATATTTTACTAATTTATAGAGTTATATTAACAAAATAGACATTAATAAAAAATTATATGCTACTTGTGTGTAGAATAAAAAAATTACATTAGTAAATACATGTAATTTTTTTATGAACTCAAAGAAAAATCGAAATGGAATTTTCGATTGACTGTACTTTTTACGAGAATATTGGAGTAATGGAGCACGAGAATATTTCTTAAAAGTGTTCTCAGAAACAAAATATAATAAAAAAAACATGTTATTGTGAACCAATTGCATCTCACTTCACGTAGAATCTGAAATTTATTACCACTGCACTTCATATAGGTACAATCTTATTAGATATTTATATGTTTTCATGAATACGTTTTTTTGAGTTAAGGTATGTAAAAAATAAAATAGCTTGTATGGAATAGAATTTTATCTTTAAAATATTTGTCCGAGACTTAACGAGACTACATATATAGTAATATTAAAAAATGATAAAAGGCTTAAACAGCAATCCCAATTTTCGGACACAATTTCTAAAATACCTACCTGGTAAAAAAAACTTATTTTTCAATGTAATTCAATGTAATATAAACAAATTTTTGTATGATATTAATAACTAAATGTTTTTAATTTATTTGATAGGTTGACTTACACGCGATATTGATCAACATCTCCGTTAATAATTTAATTGCCAAAAATGAATAGCATTGACATCATCTAATCCCATCATATTGCAGCTGAAGGTAAGCCTTTTTGAATTTTTAATTACGTGTTTACTTTGTGTTAATAATATTAAGCACGATTGTTTTATTTCTAACTATGCCGTGGATCTGGGTATATTATATTATATTAAACTTACACATTTTGAAGTAAATGATTAAAATGCAGTTTAAACATCGTCTCACCAAGCTACTATGAATTAGATAAGGAAAATATGTGTTACCATAACGTAAAAGTTATCACATAAATTTAGTTTATGATGGATAGCTCGTAAATTGCACATATTATATAAAAATGTAAATGTAGACGAATAATACTATTATCTTTAAAACTTTTGATATTATGAAGTTTTATGGATAAATTTCTTCATGTATTGCACTTAACTAAATATATGTTTAATGCTCGTTGTCATAATATATACGGAAAATCGATTTATTAATTTTATTTTTTACTTAGGTAATGAGGAGATATGTTATCAATTTTGTTTGCCTAAGTATGGTGGAATTTATTCAAAACCAATAAAATATGTCTTTCGTTTGATAAAAAAAAAAAAAAAAACAAAAAATATATACATTTTTAAAAATAATGTTAGACACGCCAATGGTATCCAATATTACGAACATATTGATCGGCAATAGGTTTTCCCGACCAAATTGCTAGTGCTTGTATACATATATCACAAGACGGATTATTTATTGTTGTACAAAAATAATATTTTTTTTATCTCACGACCTACCTACCTACCCTCTCGCTCGCCGCGTTTCATAAATACAGCAAGTACAGGAATGTTTCATATTGGTGAAACGTATGCATTGTAATTTATAATATGGGTAGTGGACCGTGCGCGGCGATCGAGTGCCAAACACCCGTGAATTGTCGACTCACCAAAAATGCAATTCCCGTCAAGTTATTTAGACTAAAAAGGTTATCACGCTCAAATGGCATACCAGCGCCAGGCAACCGTTCGCGTATAATTTTCGTGTATATATATATGACATTATATCTACTGCGGCGTGTGTAATGTTATCCTGTAAAATGATTATTTTTTAAAATAGTTTACGAATCCCGTGGTCGGCCACCACCATAATATACCACCGGATGCCTCAGTAGCGACGGGCATTTTCCGACTACAGAAACCTTACAGTTATTTCAGTACATGTTTATTACATAACGAGCCCAGCCCAAGTCGATTTATTTTTGGGGTTAAAACGTATACATCACGAGTATATTACAAGACAATAAATCCAAAACATTACAAAAGTGTTGTTTACTACCCTTTTTGAAACTTATGCATAATATACTCGCATGACGCATACGTATCATATATACTAAGTATGTTATATCGTGCGATTATTTCAACAGTTTAATTAACGCTCATTATTTCAAAAACTATATACTTTTAGATTCTGCCCGGTGCGATTTGATTATGCAATTATGTGCTTTGATCGTTTTGGTCGTCGCCTTTTGGTGCAGAAAATAGGCTAAGGTTTTCAATTTCAATATCCAAAATGTTTTCTGGTAGGAAAAAGAATATAGTATTGGTACTTTGAAGGGTCAGAAGTAAAAAATTCTCTGTTATTTTTCTAATAATTGGAAAAAATAGGAATTTTTAAGCAAAACCAATTTCTGACAAAATCTTCTTAATTTTACATTTTAAAATCTAAGATTTTCTTATTTTTATTTAATTATTTAAAATCATATAACTGTACGTAGATACTTGACATTTTCACCAAATACTTAAATTATTTTTTATAAACATGGAATAATTTTCAAAATATTAAGATGTGTTCTTTTTGTGCTATTTATGGACATTTTGATTTTTTTTTAGTTTTTTTGTCTATAGTTGTCTTTAAAAAAAATACTTGCTCTGTCAAATGCTTGAAAATGTAGTATATTTTTAAGTATATTATTATATTTGGCATTTTTCAAAATATTTGAATAATTCTAAGCTAATGTCTCTTCACGATGTTCTATGATACGGTTATAATGGTTTAAAAATTAACAACAATAATAAATTATATAATAATATACTATTCTAACAGTTAAATATTAATTATGTAATAACTACAATATTTTCTGCAAAAATTAAATCAATCTACCACAGTACTAATAGTAAAAACAATTTATTTGATAGAAATATCAAAAAATATACTTTTTACAGTTTGTGGAATGATAGAACATGGTGTACCACTTGTACCAGAATCATTTTTCGTATGTTTGATGTATTATTGACTTCAAATAATTTGTATGTGTACAATTATTGTACACATACATTATAATATTTGTTGTGACATAATCAATTACTAGGTACACCGACACCTAATGCATACTATAGCAGTTTTAAAATTGTTTTTGAAGAATATTTTTAAATACATGGAAACCTGTATATTTTATTTGTATTCTTATTTTTATTTACAGTTTTTTTTTTTTTTTGTAAACAATTTTAAGAACACCAAAAAAAAAATATAAATTTACATGTACGTATTTGAACATTTTCAATTAATTTTTTTTTAAAAAAAAGTTAATACTCGAGGTAGTATTTATTGTTAAAAGAATCCCCCTGTGTTTAATATTTCACCACCGAGTATGATGTAATACTATGATAATACAAATATAATTTATTTTAAATCTAGGACGCAAAAAAAATGTCAATTGACAGCGCCACGTGGTTTTTGACTAGTTCTGATTTTTGCAAGGACGTGGGCAACGATCGTCATAGTTTTCCTAGATGTTTTTGAAAAAAAAATATCGCTTATAGATTATTATATTATGTTAAACTGCGTGTGTGCACGAACAATGGGAAACGATCGTTATAGGTACCTAAACGTACGTCCACGGCGGTGCATATTGTATATATTTGTGTGTGTGTGTTTAAAATAAGTGGCTCGTTCGGCTTTTTCAGCTTTTCCGAACGATTTGCCCACGGAAACACAATCCTCGGGTCGGCTCATTGTTTAGTTGCGGTTTGATTTTCGGGCACCTCGGATCTTCTCCTCGTCGACCCTCCTGCTCACGCCTCCCGTAGGTACCCACCTAACCACACCGCGGTTGTTTTCGAGTTTACACTACGACGGCGCGGGGGTGTGTTGGCATCGTATTAGAATAATAATAATAATCATAATAATAATAATAATAATAATAATCATAATAATGACTGGGCGAGTGTGTTTGCGCATTTAATAGAAAACGGCCAAGAGAAAAGCCAGGCGATGCATGAAATGTACAGATAAGCTCCTCTCGCTCATCCATAACCATGCTATCCGGAGGCCGAGAGAAAATTCGCCGTTGTTTGATCGTAAGCTCCGAATTCACATTACCGTGGTTTCATTCAAAATGTCATGATAGACATTGCGAGCTGTAAATTAATTAACAACTTAATCAATACACATATTATTACATTACACCTCCACCCCTAAAGCATTTCACTTATACGGTCGTTAACAAAACGTATCTCCATCTTGATTTTTAACGTTCTCTAGGCTAGGTATGTTTAAACAATTCAAAGACTGAGGATATAATATGATGTTTGCCCACACTACACCCACCATTAAATTACAATTGAATTATAATTATTATCGTTTAATAGACAAGTAATGAAATATTCATTTTTTTCGATTGGTAGAAACTATATTAAATCTTAAATGTGTTTATTAAATTATTTCTTCACCGCGGATCACATTTTATTCAAAAACATTAATTTGAGTTTGTTTTCAATATTATGTTTAAGCAATAAAAATATAATTTAAAAAGTTTGTTTTCAAACAGATTGAAAATAAGTGAACGAGTTTTAAATTGAAGGAAAAATATCCTCTAAGTATGTTTAAAATAAAGTTAGATGAATATGATTAAAGAAAATATGAAGACAAAAGACATAGAAGAAAAAAATGAATATTATAATTATTGTAAATTTAATTTATTATTTTTATTAATAATAATAGTAACAATATTGTATTCATCTGATTTTAATGATGATGAACACCATTAATGCACTTATTATAAATGTACAAAGCAAGTAAAGTACCACGGTACATTTTTATTTATTATGAAATAATTAAATTTTTTATTTTTGAACATGGCTTTGATGACAAGGGTCATAATATATAATTACATTTTTCGAGTTCAGGTTTAGATTTAGTTGTAAACTGGCTAACTCATATTGTCTATATTTTGGTGAAAAATACATATAACGATTTCCATTTGCGCCAAAGACACTATTGTTTTCACTTAACAATACTTTTATCATTCGTTGGAATTCTTAAAGCCATATTCTCTCATTTCTTATGCAGACATTCTATACGAAAAGTTTCAAACAAATTTAGGTATAGACTTTCAAATCTCATAAGAGTCTACTTCACGTATAATATATAATACATACAAATATATATATATATATTTAAAAATAGTTTTGATGGGTTTTTTTTCAAAGCTTTGACTTTAATATACTGCATTTAACTAGGTATATAATGTTCCTTTTATTTATTAGGTATCTGTATAAATATGGGACTGTTCAAGTTCGTACCATAGAAGCATTTCAATTCATCACTCTAAGCATGATAACTAATGCACCTTGGTTTGTATCCAATTCCCATCCACCACTCTGCCGAATTTAAAATCGAATCAGTTATGTACCGATTGGGCACCGAACACTACACACAATTTAGTTCAGAACTACAAACTCATACAAACACGCTAGTATCATACATTTCATCAAAAACAAAACCTATAAATAATCATTGATTAAAAAGAAAATATCGCAGAGAACTGCTAAACTAAAATAATATAAATATATACTAGGTATGTATAAACATCACAAAAAACCTGTGGTACAGTCACTGGATAGCCGGTCCCATCATAATACATATTTGTTAGTTTATTTTAAACAAAAAAATTGCTTATCTCATTATTGCTCATTTTACTGAAGCATGCGCAGATTTCCTATGTTATTTTTTGTTTCTCATGAGTCGACCTTACTTCAAGAATTGCCAGATGTTGGTAATAATTTAATTAAAAAAAAAAAATTATA